GGTATGCGGAGATTTAATGTTTATTTTACTGATTTAAATTTAAATTTTAAAATTTATTATAATAAAAAACTTTTAAAATCAATCACATTAAGTTTTTTTATTATAATAAAAAATATTTTATATAAAATCATATTTTAATTTAAATTAAAATTTTAAATTAACGAATCAAACAGAATTTTAAAAATCATTATGAAAAAACGAGGACGAGGTAACAAAAATGGGACACTTTAATCGCTAATTATTGCAATCCTTGCCTGAATAATACAATATACATGTTCGTGCCACGGTCAGGCCACCAGCTACAATGATTAATCTACAGATCTTAATCAAGGCAAACTGACAAACAAAATCAAATAGCGAACAACCCCAGGCAACTTTCATTTAATCGGAACCTCAAAATTCAAATATTCATTATTCATATCATTCCCTTACTAATTTGACTTTGTCATGTTCATTGCAGCACTGAAAAAATCATCCAATGCTTTAGGAGAAGACCCTTTATAAAAACAACCATCCCGATCATCATCATGATCCTTAACAGCATTCTCAATCATCTCCCTCAACTCACAAGCTTTCCTTCTCATTTCACTCCCTTTCTCAGTACTCATCACCAACTCAATTTTGGCCACCAAGTCTTGATGCCTAACCTCACAATTCTTCCCTCTAGCCACCTCCACACAAACCCCAACCTCTCTCTCCAACAGCACGGCGTTGAAGAACTGCTCCGCCGCCATCGGCCACGCCAGCATCGGCACGCCGTTGCTGAGGGCCTCGAGCGCGGAGTTCCACCCGCAATGACTCAGAAAAGCAGACGTTGCCTTGTGAGACAAAATCTCCACTTGGGGAGCCCAGTTCCTCACCAACAACCCTCTTCCCTGAATCCTCTCTTCAAACCCTTCTGGAAGCCATTCCTCCGCTTTGAACTCCGAGTTTATGTCGAAGCCCATCGGCGGCCTAACCACCCAGATGAAGTTCTTCTTACTTTTATCCAAAGCCGTCGCTAACTCAATCATCTGTGTTGGTGAAATTGTGTTCATCGAACCAAACGACACGTACAGAACAGAGTTTAAAGGCTTTGCATTCAGCCATTCCCAGCAGATTTCTGATGTTACACCTTTTTGTTTCCCT